GATTTTTAATGTGCAGCCAAGGTTGAGAACCACTGCTCTATGGTCTTCAGTGTTTTCAGGCAGACTTCCAGTTTGTTTGTTTTTTAATTTGCTTTTTTTTTTATCTTCACCTTTTTTACTTGTGACTTTTATCTTACTACTGATTTAATCATGCCAAAGTGGACAATCCTTGAAATTATAGCCCTGGCTCTGCAATTTCTTAAGAGTTCAAGACCCAAATGCTCAATTTCCAAGTGGTTGTCTCTACAATAATAGTCTTCCAATGTTTCCAGTGTATCCTGTTGTTGGAGACACACACATACAAAAGTCATAATCTTTTCTTTTTTTCTTCCAAGCTATTTCCTCCTGTCTTTCTATCTTTGTGAGAGAAGGTGTGTGTGTGTGTGTGTGTGTGTGTGTGTGTGTATGCGCGTGCATTTGCACACACATATATGTGTGTTTTGAGGGTTGGGGAGAAGAGATTTAAAAAGTTGACTTATCAGTGAGTCTTCAATTGCCTAACTCAGTGATGGCGAACCTTTTGAGCTCTGCGTGTCAGTATTTTGAAAAACCCTAACTTAACTCTGGTGCCGTGTCACATATAGACATTTTTTGATATTTGCAACCATAGTAAAACAAAGATTTATATTTTTGATATTTATTTTATATATTTAAATGCCATTTAACAAAGAAAAATCAACCAAAAAAATGAGTTCGCGTGTCATAGGTTCGCCATCACTGGCCTAACTCCTGTTTCTCAGCACATCCTACTGTCACCGGAACCATTCCACTGTGCAAGGCCTCTGACAGATGACCCTTTGGCCAGTGCCTGCACTGCTACTCTTACAATAGCTAACTTTTTTGAGCATTTACTACCCACTTTTCAGGGTAATTTTATTTAATCTTCAAGACAACCTTTTGAGGCAGGTATTGCCTCATGTTTATAACTCAAGAGACATTTGCTCAGGTATGCTAAGAACTGTGCCCCAGGCCACACAGCTAGAGCAGGCGGAGCTGAGAAGTGAG